CCCCTGAGCCTCTGGCCTGTACCCCTGTTCTGTATATACAAATAAATAAATCTTAAAAAAAAAAAAAAAGTACTCACTCATTTACCCCTCTGGATAATAATTTACTATTTCACACCCTTAAAATGTTGAAGTGCAGAGAGAAAAATAACCTCAGTCACAGGAACAATGGCAGAACTGTAATTTAATTTGAGACTTCAGCTTCCACAGATGATGCAACAGGATAGCTTTGCACCTGGGTGACACCGCTTCTCCATGATATCTGCCTAGATGCTCAAGTCATTTCATCTAGCAAACTGAAACAAATGGCCATTTCCTTTTGCAAGTAGAAGGCCTCTCCCCAGAGCCAGACTCAGAAGGTTCAAACCTTTCCAGACCAGATTATAAATATACTTTGAACACTTAACACAGAATGATTTCTTCTTTCTTCTCCTTTGTACAATGTCAAGTTTCCAGAGACCTGCTTTATAGCTTTATCATCCCCTTTTTTCCAGGTTTATCTGACAATATTAAGACCTATAGCTAGTGACAAAGGCAAAAATGTACATGGAGACATTTAGAATGAGCCTGAAGTAGGTATATTTGTTGAAACTGTCTACCTGCCATGGCAAAATATCCCATTCTCAAAACTCTTTTTTTTTTTTTTTTCAGTTGATAAGCAAATTCAGGTTTTTATTTAAACTAGCTCTGACTCTTCATTCTCTTTGGTTTATACTTCCACCCAGGAAAAAATGAAAATCTTTTTTTGTTGCCAATTATTCAACAAGCCTGATAGCTTGTGTCATATAAAACACTTATAAATATGTATATAATAGGGCATTTATGTGCACATTGTGATGAGCGATTTAGGATACACATCATTCAGAATATATTATTGGTGATAATGAGAACAGATGTGGCTTCATTTCTGGCCTTCCAAATGAGAGATAAGAACCAAATAACCCCAAGAACAATGTTATTTTTGTCCTTCAATTTCATGTTATTCATTTAAATACTGACTCAAATTTTTGTTTAGTTTCAATCATCATCATAAAACACTAGTGAGGTGACTCATTACTAAGAGTAATACTCATCACCTCTCAGATACTCCGCGTGAGTGAACTGAAACTATGTGGTTCATACTGTGAGTAATGAATTTCTTCTATAATGTGTTCTTCTAGCATTGAGAGTTAGGGTTATTTGTGAAACCACAGAAGAAGGCAGGAGATAGCCAAATTAACAAGGCTAATTGCCACCAACTCCACCACCAGAGAAGAATAGCAAAAACATCTAAAATAAAAATGGTGTGCTATGGATAATGGTGCGATTATTGAATGTTATTTTTGCTAGGCATTACTCAAGTGCTTTACATATACTGTCTCATTCACTGATTCCCTATAAAATATATTCTACTATGAATACTAATCTACAGAAGATGAAGCTAAGACTATGTAACAAGGAATAAATTGCCCAAGAACACACAAATAGCAAGTAGCAGAGCTAGACCCCAGACACAGGTCATCTGAATCTAAAACATGCTTAAGCATTGAGCTCTACTCTGGAGTTTGTCAGCCTCAGACCATTGACACAGGTGGCCAGATAACTCTTTCTGTGTGGCTCTGTTTGCAAGACTGTGGGAACCTAACCACGTAGCAGCATCCCTGACCTCTTTCCACTAGATGCCACTAGTGCCTTCTCTCCTGGTCCTCTGGCATTGCAATCAAAGTCTCCAGACATTGCCCAATGTCCTGTAGGAGGCAAAATACTTCATCAAGTGGAAACCACTATTCTACACTCAGCGCTGTTAGTACTGTTGTATGCCATCATGTCATTCAGAAACACAATTTTCATAGCTATAATACATTTATTAAATATGAAAATTTAGTGTTACACCAAAAATATTTATATATGAAAACTTAAAAACATCAGGTCATTTGAAATCTACCCCTTTTGTAGATATTTAATATCCAAGAAAACTTTGTCAATGAAATAACAAGCAGCAGGTGATTTATAGTGCAAAGACATTTAACATTTTCCTTAGTAGTAATTTTTTAAGAGAGTATGATTACTATATATAGATATGGCCATGTAAATAAAATATAACTGCATTCACATATGAAAATAAATTTGTCAAAAAAATTTAAATATACTGTTATTCTCTTAAAATCTAATAAATCAAAAAATTTGATAAAGCATTGGTTTTGTTTTTATTCCTTTTAAATTATATATTTAAATATGTGTGTGTGTATGTTAAAAGTAAGTATTGTGCCAGCTTGCCTACATCATTATTTTAGAATCAAATCATGTATACAAAAGTACTAAGAATAAGAAAAGACAGTGTGAAACAAATCGTAAAATGTTTTGCATAATTCACATTGAAGTAAAAGATACGCACAAATACACGCCAAAGTTAAGGAAGATAGTGAAATTCATTTAATAGTCATGTTCTATATAAACAATTTGTCACATATTTTGCATTTTAAGAGCCCACATGTAAAATCACAGTATGCACAGACCAGAAGCAAAATATATCAGACAAAAACATCCTAGAGAAAAATTTGGTTTATCAAACTTTGCTATTTTTCTAAATCTTTGTAAGAGAAAATTAGATATTTTTGGTTAAGAACAAATATACTCTATTCAAGTGTTTTTGATTATGCTATTATCCCTTCTCACCAAAAACATAATTTGCTACAAATTCTACGAAGTTTCACATCAATGGTCTACCCATTACCATAAGCATGTAATTAAAAATATATGACCAAATTAATTTCAAAAGAGAACAATGGTTTTTTGGGGTTTATAGACAGTATTTTTTAAAGGGACCATTTTTTTAAATTTTTCCTTGTGTGCAATTTGGAAGCAAATTGACTTTTAATAACCTATATTGTACATCATGGTTGCAATCCAAGTAGTAGCATTACACCAAAATTATCTAATACACATGTTGCTTAGGGCTGTAATGTTACCATAGTTACTACCAGATCAAACACCGCAGGATAGCAGAACCACTAAGTCTTTCAAAGTGCAGAAAGTCAGCACTTGCAATATGTTATGAGCCTTCATTTTTCTTCATTTGAAGGTTTTTCCAGTTGGTCTTGTGTTGTTTCTTCATCTTTTTTTATTACATCTATAAAAAGCAATTTTCATTGAAACACATTTTAAAACATATTGGAATAAAACAGGACAAAAAAATGTTCATTGTCACTTATCAGTCAGGCAAGTCAAAGCCATAATGAGTTACCACCTCACACCATGAGACTGGCCCATATCAAAAAGTATAGAAAAAAGTATTGTCCAAAGTCTGGAGATAGAGTCCTCCCACACAAGTGGTGGAATGTAGGCTGATCCACATCCTATGGAAAATTGCTCAAAATATTAAAAATAGATCTACCATATGATCCAATAATTCAACTCTAACTATATACCTGAAGAATGCAATAACATTAATTTGAAGAGATATATGCACTCCTATGTTTATTAAAGCGCTATTTCTTAATATAACAGCCAAGTTATGGCAACAATTTAAGTGCTCAAGGATTGATGAGTACATTAGAAAGATGTGCTTTATATACACAGTGGAATACTACTATGCTATAAAATATAACTCTTGACTTTTGCAATAATATGGATGGAACTGCAGGGGATAATGCTAAGCAAAATTAGTAAGGAGAAAGACAAATATCAGATGGTGTTAGATTCATGCAGAATATAGGGGGGGGGGAACAAACAAAAGATTAAGTAAAATCAAACTAATAATGACCCTAGAAATCTGACCATAAAATTAAGAGAATCCCAGGGAAAGGGGTAGGGTAAACATAGAGGAAAGAGGCACAATTGCTATGGTGGAGGACTTTCAGTGCCTTGTTGGTGGGTATGGTATGCAAATAGACCCTGAAGGGTGTGATCTTGTACCACTAAATGACACACAATAAACAAAGTAAAATATGTGGGTATGGGAAGTGATATATGCTCAGGATGAAATTGAAGAGCAGGAATTATTGAGAATTCTTGGGACCTGGAGGCTTCGGATTTAGATAGGCCTGTCTGGGAATGCCTCACTGAGAAGGGGGCATTGGAAGAAATGCCTGAGGGTATGAGGGAGTTAGCTGTTTGGATAGCAGGGAAAAGTGTATGCCAAGCAAAGAAAACAGTAAGGTGAGTGGCATCAATACAGGAAGGAATGCAGAGTAAAGTAAAAGGAATGGGAGACTGGGTCAGAGAGGTACTGAGAGAGTAGGTCTTTTAAGTGGAAAAAAAAATAGCACTTTATTGAGCCAGTCTTGCCAGTAAAGCTGGCTTTATTTGCAAATGGATGGGATGTAACATGTAAGTGACAGTGGGGAACAAGAATAATTTGAATGATTTTTGAATTTAGCAGGTGGGAATTTTGAAAGTATTATTCACTGAGGTTGGAAAAAGGTTTCAAAGAATATATCTGGAGTTCACTGTAGTGCCCACAAAGTTTGAAATTTACTGTTATAACATTCAGTCAGAGATGTCTATGAGGGTAAAGTTCAGAGGGACTCCAGCCTGGAGATAACACCACAGTGTGAGTGACCAGAAGGACGATCATTATTCCAGTGAGACTCGATGATGTCAAAGAAATGGAGGGTTACAGAGTTGTCCAAAGGCTGGTACAAATCATTCATGAAGAGACTGGGGAAAAACAATCTCAGGAACAGCTGCCAGTATAAAAGAAGGAAGCCAAGAGAATAGACTGTCTTGTAAGTAAAGGAAGAAAGTGTTTAGAAGAAGTAGAAATCAACCATGAGAAAATTTCTAGAAAACCATGTGAGATGAGGACTAAGACCACTGATTTTATCAGAGATGTTATATGTGATCTTGAAAGAGCAGTGGAGTGGTGGGGTGAAAGTCTTATCAGGATTAGAGAACTGGGACAAAGGATTTGGAGGCAGAAAAAATAGACATGTTGTTTTGCTACAAAACAGAAATGAGAAGTGGGATCCAGAATGGGTCTGAATCATAGCAATCATGCTCAGTTGCCTTCTGATTATCATGGCAGGTGCTTAATAAATGTTTATTGAAACAACTCTCACAGGAAAACAGTCTTGATAGGAAATGGTACTCTGAGCCAGTAGGAAATATGAAACACTTAAATTACGTTCAGAATTATTTAAGCAGCACTGCTATCACTGATTCTAATCAAGCTACCCATGAAGTATTTAGAGCTTTCAGAGAAGAGCTGTCAGCTCTGTTTTCTCTAAGTTGGGCTAATGAGGAGATGGTGAAGTCCCCTTAAGTATTTCTCTTGCTATGAAATCAACCAGCAGCTCATAATAACAACCAAATAAACATTATTCTGAGATCATCTAGCAGGATCTAGCTCGGGATTATCAGCTAAAATATGGAATATGGTTTCAAGTACCTTTTGGCTTTGAAATGTAATAGTAATTGTTTAGAAATATATTAAAAGATAAAGAGAAAAGGAAATAATCACTTTAAAGAGGTGATGACTGCTTTTTACTTCTAATGTAGAGAGTAAGTGAAGGAAGCCAAGCAAGAAAACGGCTATTTCTGTATAGTGTTATGTAGTCTTGGAGAGTTATCACTATTGTGCTACTTTTTGAATTTGTCTGGTGTTTTCAATATAACTGAATATAGTTTTAATATAGTCCTTCACCATAATTTCTGAGTGTACAAAATTCAAACCCACCAACTTTCCACATCTGAAATGAGAAATATAAATTGTATATAAACTGTATATAAATTATCAATTAAATAAATAAATATCCAAACATACCATGTGATAAAAAGAAATTGTTCTCTTTCTAAAATACTGAAAAATCGACTTCATCTTAAACAACAGGTTTAGTAAACAAGAGAAAAAGTGCTTTCAGTTAGTTAAAAGAGAATCTGTTCCAAAGAAAATTTCTAGACTGATTAAGAAGAGAGAAGTGCTGCTGATTTTAAGAGACTTTGAGTGTTACCTTTCTTCAAGGAGAGGTTCTCCAGTTTGAGGGGTAACTTTGAGAGTTCACCTGTCGCAGTTGAACCCTGGATGTCTGGGATGGCATTTCGGCGGCCTGTCCTTGCTGAAGCTGCAAAACTGGTGATCACATGTTCCACCTCAGTCATTTCTGATGAATCTGTCCTCATAGCAACATCTACAAATAAAATGTGCACATGAAGAGGATGAACCTGTTCCGAGGGAAATATTTGCAAAGTGGTGCCAAAGCACAACAGATCAAAAACAAAACAGGCTTGAGAATCTAATCACTGATCACACGCTGCATCTGTGTCTCCAATAACAGTGCTGGAGCACATTCTCACATTCACTGAATAGACAGGAAGTTCTCAGTATGAGCCAGAGAGCTATAAATAACCCTGAGCCTATGAGCCACTTGGATGCTTCAGGGTACAGTAATCTCTCGCCTTTTGTTCTGCTTTTGTATAGAAGGATAAGCCAAAGCAAGGCTGGAAAAGAAAAGAAAACCCGACTTGCTTCGCCACTCCGGTAGACTGCCGACCAGAATTTGCTTGTAGCCAAATGTCCAGGCTGAAACCAAATCATGATCATTTGTAGGATCAAACAGAATACACTCTATTCTTATTCTTTAGAAACAAGTTTAACTTGATCTCCAAGATTTTTTCCCTCAGTGACAATCATGGATTTCCATCTGTTCTATTCTCAGACCTGATTTCCGTTAGTGTCACCATTAGGTTTGGGGAGAGCAGGATCTGTTCTGCATTTTCCAGTCTTCCAGTGAACCCACAATTATTACTATTTCTTCAGCATCTTTTACCTTTCTAGCAATTGCCTCTGAAATTCTCAAGAGATTATTCACTCTAGAGGGAGGAAGATAGTAGGCTTTCCTTACTCTAAAACTACTCTTTTGTGTGATGTTTTCTTGAGAAATAGTAGCACAATAAGGTACATTTGATATTAGAATTGCAACTGTCCTGGGCCACAGCACACTGAGGTTAGCATGGGCTACCTCAGTTGGGGCTACTTCTCCAGATACTGTCTTCTTTTCTAGGAATGAAACATTTGAGAAAACTAAATCTGCTAACACAATTTTGAAATCAGTTAGACTCCTTTTTAGTATTTGTCCATTCCCTGGCTTTGACATCTCTCTCTGGAATTGAGCATAGAGTGTTAAAAAGAACGCTGCACTACTAGTCAAAAATAATTTCACTCCATTTCATGCTTGTAAGGTGATATTGGTCATTCAGTATAATTACAAATTACAGTGCTCCCCTATAGCATGGGTATTTAAAAATCAGCCTAATTTATAGGATTCTTGTGAAGAAATAATGAGATCAAGTATGTAGAAACACTAACTTATCATACATTTAATTATTGGTGTCATTGTTCATATTTCACTAGATTTTTGTTTCTGCTACCATCCTCCTACATATCCTTTTTTAATTCTAACAAGAAATAGCTTCCTACTGAAAGATCTCTTGAGTTTTCAAAGTAGGAAGCCAGAATTCTTTCAACATTGAATGAACATTGTCATATCTATTGGCTCATTTAAAGCTTCTAGTAATCTTATAAAGAATAACTTTTACTCTGGGGACATGGAAACTGAGATGTGAGAGATCAAGCGGCTTATTTAAAGTTGCATAGTTGCTGATCTGTGAAATAAAAGCAAACTTAAAAAGTAACATTTAGAGTGTGGGGGGGATGAAATAATGAATTTAATGTGTTCTCATCTTTGTGAAAAGAGTAAGAATCCTACTTGAAAATGAGAGGACAGGGAAAGGAAGAGAATTGCCTTAATATATTGATACTGCCTTAATATTTTACTTAGTAATAAATTACTATTACCTTCATAATTTAAAAGCCTTGAAAGAATGTCATACAGCAAAAATAAAAATACACATGTTCTAGCATAGAAAGATTCTAAAAATATTTTTAGAATTTATTAAAAAATAGCAAATTTTTATGTACAAGCCCCTCCCTCCTCCAAAGTTATTATTCAGCTGTTTTGCCATAGGCTTATACATACACACACACGCATACGTGTATACATATATATATATATATATATACATATATACACATGCACACTAACACTATATAAATATACATGTTGCTTTTTCAAAAAGTTTGCAACATTTAAAATATATATAACACATAGAAATATGAGGAAATACTATTATGAAATACAAAGGAGAGACTAACTTCCAGGTTATTTTCATTTTCTGGGCTTATGAAGTAAAACTGTGTTTATGTTTACTAACTGGAGCAGCTGACTCACTTGCAACTCTTCCTCTTTTTCTTCTACAGAATTAGTACAAGAATCAGGGTGAGTTCTGTTTAGTCAACTGTGGCTGTTTACAGGAGTTAAAACCATTTGGATATTTAGAGATTCTACAGAAGTTCCTGCATGCCCACAGCAAGGTAATGCGATTGCCTGGAACACATTTCCCATTATTTTGAAAATACACAATTTTTAGGACACTTTAACAAAGACCATTAATTACACAGTCTAGCTCTCTCTCTCTCCATATATATGTATGTATACACACATAATAGCATCTCTGTAATTTCCAAATTATTAATAAAAGAAAAGAGTAACATAACACAATAGAAGAGGACTAAGTTATTCAAGCTAAACAGAGCACTTAAGGAGGGAGTGTGTGTGTGTGTGTGTGTGTGTGTAAAATCACTAGTCATCTTCCATAGGTTCAAAAGAGCCTAAGAGTCTGTTAGTAAATTATAGACAAACATCTCAATTCTCTTTCTCAAGCTTCCTGATGTAGAAGCTAAGACAGTAAGAAGGTAGATGGAAAGGTAGATGCCTTTTTCTCCTCTTTTTTCATTGATGTAACTTTAATTTGCAACACTGCTTGTTTTTTTTCCCTACTTTGTGGATTTGGATCACTCACCCCATCACCTACTGTGAAGCCACTACTCATTATGCATGTAAGTCTTGAAATAAACTTCTTACCCACTAAATCAGTTCCCTTGTGGTATGAATCAGTCTATTTGAAAAACACACACACACACACTTAAAATAACAAAGAAGGAAGAACATACATTTTGGAAAGTTGGTGGTTTTCTTGGTCAAAGACAGAGAGAAAGAGACACACTGGTCTCAGCTGATAACCAAATGTTTTATCTGTCTCTTTCCAGCTCTCAATATCTTAATATCCTATGCTAGATTTCTTTAGTTCTTACAATTATTTTTTATGATTTTCTTTTTTGGAGTAGACAAATTTCATTCAAACAGGTGAAAGAAGGATAACAATCACCTCTTAATGTGAACTAACAAAAATATTTATTCAGCTAGTGAATATTTATTCAGCTAGTGAACCCCCCCCCCCGTTAAATTATTAAAAACTAGGCCCTGTGTTAGATTCATCAGAGAAAATCACAGCCTACTAAGATAAAACACCTTCTAATCTTTTATTTTTCTTGACTTCAATTTTAATAGTAATAAGATAAAAGTGTTATAAGATTGAGCTCCCTGAAAATATTCAGACAGAATTTTTACAAGATTACCAGAGCAAATGTTTCCAATACATTTTACCTTCATATGTGCAACTGAGGTCAACAGAGATTTTGTGGGCCTTGGGAAAAAATTGTTACCATAACCTTAAAGAATTTTAATTACCCATAGTTAGGGCCATCTCCAGAAACAAACATTTTATGGAAGAAAACTGTCTTAGAGTAGGGCAAACATCTACAGGTAAGGCTTTGTCATCTGTGGTCAGCCCTTCTCCTCACTGACAGCCCAGCCCTTACCCCATTTCCCTAAGATATAGCTCTGTTTGTTCCTTTTACTTCAGAATTTACAGCCAAGAAAATTCTCCATAAGTATGTGACTAAATTTGTTCTCTTCTTCTATGAATGTGTCTGACGTTAATTTGTTTGCTTGTGCATCCTGAGAAGAACCTACAAAGAAGTGTTTTCTCCTGTGATCTTACTGTATTAGTGTTCAACATGTAAATCCTTTAATACATCACCTTTTCACCTAAGTATGAAGACCACTTTAGGTTAAACAGAGCTTATATGGAATGTATAATTGTACAAATTATTTTTTTTAACTTAGAGAACTTTCTCTTTAAAAATCCCCCCATGTATGGTATTTCTGTGACTCAAGTATAAACTAAAGTAGATTTTAGCTATTGACACACATATTGTTTTTATATTTAAATTCTTACTTGATATTAATATGTATAAATGCTTTAACATATAGCAGTAGACACATAGGCGATATTTTTAGCAATAATGAATTTTTGACAGTTTAGATCCATAAGTTTTAAATATAAAGTCAAATTAATTTTTCATTAATCTTTCCAAATAAAGGAAGTACAGCAGTAAAATGGCATTTGTTAAACTGAGATAGGGCCTCTTAAAACAATAATACACACTGAGGTTAAAAAAAAATCTAGCGATTTAACTGTAATAAGCTTGTAACCCCCTTGATTGTGAGGGTGTTGTTTGACTGTCCATCCTGTCCTCTTTGGTTCCTGCTAGAAAGCCTACCCAACATGTATCCTCCATGAAGTATTATAGGGCATCAGTTTGCCGTAAGTATTTCTTTCAACCCTTATAGCTTTCCCAAAGGCCCATTACATTTCCCCTTTATTATAGGATTTTTAATTTAAAGTGACCAGGTAGTCTAACCTTCCCGATGCAGAAATTGCAATGTAGTCATATAACAGCTGAGTATAAGAGTCTTTGTCTTTTTATCAGTACCTTCTCTAAAGTGGTGTGTGTGTGTTATATGGAGTGTCTGATATCAAGGCACAGAGTGTTATGTTGAATAATCTTTTAAATGAAAGTAATTCTACATGTTTCTATGTCATAGCAGAGCACCCCCTATTCTTTATATCACACACAGTTTTGACCTTTCATCTCTTACCTTTTTAGTTCTCTTTCTGAGTGACCAGACTTGAGAGGAATTAACATTGTTTGGAAGGAATCAACCTCATCCTTTTTCTCTATTTTGTCTGTATTCTCATTTACTGCTCACATTACATTATGAGTCACACTAGTGACTCATATAAAAAAATGTGTAATTTTATTAAGGTATGAGAGCATGCCTGATGAAGTATTTGCATTTAATTTTAAAAGTATTTAGCTCCAATTATATGCAATGTGCTACACTATAGTACTGTGGAGTTTGGCACAAATACAAGGACTTTAACT